CTCTCTTGCACGTGTGCATGCAAACACACACACACACAATTTCCAGGTTCTGACCAGGCACTGGTAGCTCAGGCATGTAATCCTAGTTACCTCCTTAGGAAGTCTGAGAAAGGGGAATTGAAGTTGGAAGCCAGCCTGAATAGACAAATACAAGACTCTTATTAAAGTTAGCCGGCAAAAAGCTGGAATTGAAGTTGTAGCTCAAGAGATAGCTCACCAAACTTAAGTGGAAAAAGTTGGTCTTTAGTTCAAGCCCCAGTACTAGCATGCACATGCATGTGTGTGCACAAGCACACACACACACACACACACAATCACTAGGTTCAAGTATCAGTCTATAAGTTTGGTGCTGTATGAGGTTAGATATACTAACTTTCCTTTCCCTACTTCCCTCTCTAATTAAAGATTTATAAGGATTTAATGAGTCAATATAGTTACAATGTTTTATGCCTACCTGGTAAATAACAAATATAGCCAATGCCATCCTTTCTAACGGTACTCGTTTTCTCGTTTTTCTAATTGTAAGCTTGAGTCAGGGACCGTATTTTATTTATTCCTAGTTTAACACAGTGGTTGGCATGAATTGGAAATTAATAAATGTTTTGAATTAATGAAGAAAAGTAATATTTAAACAACTCTGGTGACTTCTATGTGTAATATTACATAAGACCTTCCACCATTTAATTTGTACTTGAGATATATGCCAATACAGACTCAACAGAGTTAATTAACAATATAGGGCATTTTATAACCACTGGAATAATTCATAATTCTTCTGATTGAGGGTTTTTCCTCATGGCAATTAAAGAATTCACAAGGAATGTTAAGCTCAATAACTATACATTGGACAGAAACTCTAATGTATTCTTACACAACCATATTCTTATTTAGCTACACAGTACTTCTTATCATTAAAGCTAATTTTTTCATTCATTCTTATTAACCCAGCTTCAGCTGGTAAGTATACAAGTGTGTTTGAAACTTTCACAACATACTCTATAATAATCTCCTCCATATTTAATAATCAGGAAAGCCATCAACAATGAAGAAGGGATTTCTTTTTAATAAAAATATTTTATACATTCACCTGAAAGCTTTCATATGGCAAATATTACAAGTATAATTCCCAAACATTTGTTGTAACTAAATGTATATCAGCACAATTTTATGCTTTAAGTTATATGAAAGTACTTTATGCTTTTGAGTAAACATTATTTTTTGCTTCTGAAGTAATCAAAGTCAGTTCTTTAAATCAACAGTTTAATGAGCTTTTCCACATTATGCGTGCCTCAGATGTGTGTAATACCCTCAGGATTTGGGATCTAAAGTGTAACCACATATTTTAGAGTTTACTGAATCAAAAAACTATTTCAAACATTATAATAAGCTAAGCCTTCTGCCAAAATATGAAATTTTACTTGGAGTCAGTTACTCGGATAAGAACTAACATATTCCATTATACCTTTACAAGACAGACCAAAAATTGAGACAAAAACAAATTATTATCAAGGGAAAACCATTCCTACTGGAATCATGTGAAATTCTGGCTGGGTTTCTAAAGACATCATTCTTGAGATAATGCAAGAGAGATTTTTACACTATATCATCTTTATAAAAACATTATATTAGGTCCATGCTTGGCATACCACTACATGCTGTGGAAGTAGAACATGACATTTTCAGGTAATGCAGCTTATTTGCCATGTTGGAGTTAATCTTCAAAATGCATAACTTAACAATCACAGACCTTTTTAAAAAAATACAAAGGTAAGTCAGAAGTCTAGACAAATAGATGGCATAGTAAAAGTATTAAAGTAAAAAAGTAAAAGTAAAATTGTAAAAGTGAAAAAATTACTTTTCTCTTTCCTTATTATGCCTTGTGTTCAAAGATGCCATTGAGGTTTTTGGTCTTTTGTGGTTTCTCACAGGTCTCAGGAATAGTAAAGTGCAGTACTCTCATAGGACCAATTTTGGAAACAGTTGAATACCACATAATACAAATTGAAATCAGATTATTTTTCCCCTTCAAATTAGAGGATATTAGTTGGGGGGCGGGGACTTAGAAAGTGAGGAGGCAACAAAAAAGAGCTCTTAGAAAATCAGTTCATCTTAGAACTCTAATATTTAATTTTTTTAAATAGAATTTTAGACATCCTTGAACTCTGCACTCGAAAGCTAGTGTTTCAATGTTTCAGCTCATTGGTAGCATTTTAAAGTAAGGGATAATTGCAAATCTAATATTTATTTTGGCATTCTTTTCAAAGCTTCAAAATAAAAATCTTAATTGTTTTAAATTATAAAAACTAAGGCATGAAAATTATGCATGTGCCTAGTGAGAAGTTTTCATCATTTTCTATACCTTTCAGAGTTGAATTACTTAATAAAGACACACTTTGAGCCACACAACAGTATGTGCAATACAAATCCTAAGATGGTGAAGTTTTGGTTCCATGCTTTTTGTAAAATCAACAGCAGCAACAACGAAACTTTAATTCCTGCCTCTCCTTTCTAATACAAAAAAGTAATGGGCAAATTAATAAATAGTAATGGATAAAAGAATAAGTGCTAATGAGACTAACAGTAAAACATGCACTGATTTTGATTTTTTATGTCACAATCTTTCATATATATAAGATGGTTATGTTTTTCTTTTTTCTTTTTTCTTTTTTTTGTCTTTTCTTTTTTGGTACTGGGGCTCGAACCCAGGACGTTGTACTTGCTAGGCAAGTGCTTTGCCACTGAGCTACATCCCAGCGCTATAAAATGGTTATGTTAATTGCTAATTTACAATGTCCTAGTTATGGAGAACTGAAATATGGTAATTACAAACTTCTACCACAATCATCATAAATGACATCCAAGTACTGTATCTTCCAAAACAGCCTAAGAACCACTGACTTAGTGTCTATTATGACTATGTAAATAAAACCTAAACCATAAACAATTGATAGTTCTAGTTTTTCATGGCCAGTTAACATGTTGGTAGCTCACATGTAAGCAGGAGATTGAAGTTGGTCCTGGCTTTTATATCTCTAACTCCAGGGCACCCAAATTGTTTGTGCCTATTTCCCAGGAGTAATCCATATAGATTATTTCTCATTAGATTCATAACATTAAATTTACGTAAACAAAATTAACTATCCTGATGGCTAATATGTTAGAGGTTCATTAAACAAGGTTCATTGATGGGCTGGGAAGGTGGCTCAGTGCCCTGGGTTGGATTCCTCAGCACCACATAAGCAGAAAAAGCCGAAGTAGTGCTGTGGCTCAAGTGGTAGAGCACTAGCCTTGAACTGAAGAGCTGAGGGACAATGCCTAAGCCCCATGACTGACAAAAAGCAAAAAGTTTCATTGATCAAGAGTGGCATGAATTGTCAGGTACCGTTAGCTCAAGGATGTAATCCTAACTATTCAGGAGGCGGAGATCTGAGGATGGTAGTTCAACAAGCCAGCTTGAGTAGAAAAGTCTATGAGACTCTATCTCCAGTTAATCAACAAAAAGTGAAAGTGGAGCTCGTGACTCAAGTGGCAGAGTGCTAGTCTTGAGCACAATAGCTCAGGGACAGTGCACAGGCCTAGAGTTTAAGTCCCAAGACCCACCCACAGTAGTTTAGTTGCTGAATGATATGCTAAACTTCTTGGCTCATTTTTAGACAGAAGGTAAAAACTTTTCCACTTCACACTCAATTTTAATTTCTCATAAGTGATAATCAAATAATAAAATGTCACATTGCCAAACTTACTGTCTTTTCAACACTGCATCTTATTTTAAGTTATGGTATTACTTATCCTCATCTTTTGCCTTCTTCAGACTCCTAAGTCCTGCCACCTACAGGCCTTCCCAATTTTTATTGATATCATAACTGAGATAAATACATTTGACCCTTAGATCGGTTCATAAATAAATTACATGATTATGGTGAATCTGAGTGTCAATGTTCTCAAAAGCAAAAACTGGGAGAGAACGAGGGAAGGGGTGACACTGACCAAAAGAAATTATTCTTTACCTGACCTATGTAACTGTCACCCCTCTGTACACCATTTTTATAATAATAAAAATTTGAAGAGAAGAAAAAGTAATCTCTGTCTCAAAAGATTGTCACAGAATTTAAAATGAAATTATGTATAGTTTATAATATTGAAGGTACTATTCAAATACGTGCAAGGATTACTATGATTTTCAATATATATTTATTACACTGCTAAAAATGTAGACTCCTTTAAGCACAAAAGCAAACAGTATTTCTTCCCTCCCTCCTCCTCCTCCTTTCTTCCCTTCCTCTTCCTTTCCTTTGTCCTTCTTTTCTTTCCCCTCCCTTCTTCTGATCTTTCAAGCCACAGCTCCACTTTCTGATGATTAGAGTTAAGAATCTTACAGACTCTCCTTCCAGTGGGCTTTGAACCATGAACCTCAGACTGCAACTTCCTGAGTAGCTAGGAAGTTTCAGGTGTGAGTCTCTGGCCCCCAGATCAAACATTATTTCCTGACAAATATTGCAGTAGGTAATTCTGCTGAATAAAGTAATAAGCTAAAACAAACATTGTTTGGTACTTCTTTTTGGAATTGGCAATTCTCTTAAAAACGAACAGGTTTGCTAATAAATAAGCAATATTCCCATTATAAAATTAAGCTCACATTGAGATGCTCAAAGTTTAGAAATCTTAAATGTGGCATTTTTTATTTAGTTAGCCATGCCTTTTTTTCTTTCAACCACTGTCATTAAAATACACTTTCATATTGTATTTATGTATGAAAGAGCTATTTTGTATATACATTAGCAATGATGAACATGAATTCTAGCTATTGCACCTAGCATCAATCACAGAAGGATTGAAATAGTATGCGTTTATGCACCTGATATCAAGCCAACTCTGCTGTAAATTGTTTCATTTATGAGATATCACCCTTGTTGACTTCAGTCATATTACATGTACAGTAACCTGCTATTCACCAGGAAGTCACCTCAAAAATCCTGTTTGTAGGTGAACTAGGCTTTCACTAGGAATTAGTATGAGCCATAATGACTAAATCTTACATAATACATTTTTTATTTTCTTCTGAAAAGTTACCACATACTTTCTTGGTGCTACCATCATATAAAACATTTCTTACTGACTTTGTTTTCTCTGTGCTTAGCTTAACGCACCACATGCACTATATATAACAGAGTATCTCTCCATCTTCACTTTTCAACATGTCAAAGCAAATTAGGAGGTCTCATCTTCATTTTTCATTGTTTTCAGCACTGAGTCTTCTCCCAAAATTTTACAAAGTTCATCAAGTCTTTCTTGCATTTTGGGAATTCCAGCTAGCTGAGATTCTAGTTTTTGTTTTTCTTCACTCAGTGTTAAACGGATAGCGGTATCCAGTTGTTCGAAGCGCCAGCCTCCTTCACCATCAAATTGTAATAAATGAGTGTGGTATTTCCTGCATAATTAAAATGAAATAATATTATTAGCCATAACTGTGAAAAGCCACTTAAAGTCACTCGTGCTTAGAGGATTTTAATTTTAATCCATTCCAGTTGAAAGTTGGGTAGGGCTGGAGGAGAATGAAGTAGCTTTGATCAAGATGTAGTATACTCATGAACTTCATGTTGAATTGAGACCCCCTTGGTACAATTAAACATAATAAAACTCATAATTTGAATCCATTTATCAAGCCATTGATCTGTAGGAAATTCCTATTTGTGGCATTAAATTTACTTATATCCTGAATATATATGCATCATAAATTAAACTGCTTTTGTGTAATTATTTTCATAATTTGGAATAAATTCTAAAGCATCCTTAAGCTAGAAGTTAAGAAAAGGAAGCTGAGGAAATCTAGTAAAATTCAAAAGATCCAACAGAGAAAACCTAAGGCAAGTGAGTTCTTTCCACATGAATAAAAATGTCTCAGCAATTACATTTAGAAAGTTTTAAAATAAACTCTTTGATAAAATCTTTTAAAGATACTTGCATGTCCACAGTCCACATAATTTAATCTTTTTTTAGTTGGTCATGGAGCTTGAACTCAGGGCCTGGGCTCTGTCCCTGAGGTCTTCTGCTCAAGGATAGTGCTCTACCACTTTGAGCCACAGTGTCAGTTTCAATTTTTGAGTGGTTAACTGGAGATTAAGAGTCTCACAGGGACTTTTCTGCCCAGGCTGGCTTCGAACTGCGATCCTCAGATCTCAGACTCCTGAGCAGCTAGGATTACAGGCGTGAGCTGCCAGTTCCTGGCAACTCTCTCCTCTCTCTCTCTCTCTTTCTCTTAATTGTTCACTGACATAGGGGTTTCACAAGTATAGAACTTATGATGATGAGATATCATGATTAGACTCCAATAAGGAGGCTGAGGTCACTGGGCTCAGTCTGGAATTTGCAAGGGATATATGGAGAGAATAAAGAGACAAAGCTGGTATGAGCCACCTGTATTTTGCCAATTTTCTTAATCCAGGTTTCTTCATTTTTCTGTTTATGTATAGTTTTTATGACTTGTTTTTCCTAGTAAATTCTCACCTATTGTTATGTACTATGACTATGGACCTTTTCGGTTGTTTGTTTTTGTCCGGTTGTGGGGCCTGAACTCTGAGCCTGGGCGCTGCCCCTCAGCTCTTCAGCTCAAGGCTGGCGCTCTACCACTTGAGCCACAGCACTACTTCCGGCTTTTTTCTTTTTGCTTATGTGGTGCTGAGGAATCGAACCCAGGGCCTCAGGCATGCAAGGTAAGCGCTCTACCACTGAGCCACCCTCTCAGCCCTGACTATGGACCTTTTCACAGAGCTTCCAAATGCAGAAAAAGTATTTGGGATATCACTCTCAGGCCCTAAATTCAATATGTATATGTGTAAACTTAACTTTGTGATTGTCAGTATATTTACAAGTTCAAGTATCATCACTAATTCCAGACCATTTTTTTTCACCCATGTATTCATTAGCAGTCCTCTCTACTCCCTGTCCACCCAGCATCTGCCAGGCACTAATCATCTTTCTTTCTCTATGTATTTTTCTGTCCAAAATATTTCATAGGCAAGGAATCATATACTCTTATAGGCTAGTTTCTTACAAAATGATTTCACATTTCATCCAGTTGTTTCACTATTCCTTTTGTTTGTATGACAGAATTTTATCCCATTTATGGAATTGGCCAGGGCCTTGTATCTGCTAAGCAAATCCTTTACTACTGAAGTAGACCTGTAGCCTTCACCCCCTTTCGACTGAATATTGTTAAACCTTAATGTTAAAAGGGAAAATTAGCTAGGTTAAACTATAGCTTAAAGAGCAAAACCACTGTCAAACAGAACATTTAAATGTATCTATTTGATAACACATGACAGATATTAATGATCTCTTCCATGTAATTTAGATTCTTGAGCCTTCCAAATATTTGACCTTCCAATACGTGAGACCATACCAACATTAAATTAAAAACAGTATTTCTATGTCAAGAGGGAAATGCAAAAACAAATCCTGCTGTTAAAGTTGTAAGTAACCTTAAAATGAAAGAAGGCTAGTATATACTAAGAAAGAAATGACAGTTAAAAATCCATTTTATTTATTTCAGTCCCAAATTCCCTGAGCTTTCCTAGTCTTGGATCTACAACCAGGACCAATTTTAGAACATGGTTATTTATCTCTGGCACATTTCACCTTCCATGGATAACAAAGGTTTGACTCATCACTCTGGTTCTACAACTTTACTTGATTGCTACATGGGAGGAACAAACTATGTGGGTATTTCATGATCTGAGATAGAAAGGCATGTGCTATGTGAGCTGAAATAATAGTTCAAGCCCTGTTGTGGTCAGAGGATCTTAAACGAGATGACTACTTTATCTGAGACTCACTAAAACTGATTTGTACAGTTCCTTCGAAATAGAATGCTTCCTTTTTTTACTTCTTTAGTCCCTGGTGTCAGTTTTAATCATTAAAATCAGCCAGGCACTAGAGACTAACGCCAATAATCCTATTCAGGAGGTTGAAATCTGAGGATCCCAGTTTGAAGTCAGCCCAGAAAAACAAATACAAGAGATTCTTCAATTAAATATCAAAAGCCAAAAGTGGAGATGAAGCTCAAATGGTAGAGCATCAACCTTGAGAAGAAAAAACTAAGCAAGAGCATAGGGTCTAAGTTCAAGCCCCACTACTAGGTACACACACATGCACACACACATGCACACACACACACACACACACACACACACACACACACACACATCTTTACAATCAACCATTTCCCATTTGTCATTATTTCTGAAGTTTTTTTCAGAGTAAGTATTATACCTCACTCTTGGGCAAAAAAAGACAATCAGAAACAGTATATTTCTACAATCTATCATTGCTGAACTAACACAAAATGAATTAGTATAATAGAGATACACACTGTTGAATAGCTCCAGTTAAAAATGTTCATCATGGGGCTGGGAAGGTGGCTCAGTGGTAGAGTTTGCCTTGCATACACGAGGCCCTGGGTTCTATATCTCAGTACCACATAAGCAAAAAAAGCTGGAAGTGGCGCTGTGGCTCAAGTGGTAGAGCTGAGGAACAGTGCTCAAGTCTAGAGTTCAGGCCCCACGACCAACCAAAAAAAATATGTTTATCATGTTAAAAGACATGCCATTACACATTTGCTTAAAGAAATTGAGAAAACAAGGGTTGAACGTGCTTTCAGTGTGGAACCAAATGGCAGGATAGGCCATTGATCAGGGTCAGAAAAATACCAGGACTAAGAGATAACTGTTTGTCCCAACATGTGATGAATTTGGGAGCCTGTCTGGACATTTTAGGTACAGGCCAAGGAGCCAGACCTCTGTCTGGTTCTATGTCATGCCTAACCCATAGAATTTACAGGTTAAGTGTCACAGTTGTCTTCAAGACCCAGATCTTGTTGGTCTTCTGAAGGGGAAAGTCAGAAATGAGACTCACTGACAAGACTCATCCTGGTCTAGATCCTGACTGCCACTGGAGATCTCAGCAAATCAAGGGCTCATCATTTCAAATGCACTTCAAAAACAATACAAGTTCTTAGTATGCTGAGCAGGCTACCCCTTAACTCAGCTTCCTAAGTAGCTGGAATTACAGGCTCTGCCACCGTGCCAAGCTTCCCACTCGATCCTTAATGATGAGAGGACAGTTGCATATGATAGGGTCCCTTCGTGAAATGCTCTCTTTTCAAGTCCACACTCTCAGAGGGGAAATTTCTAAAGCACTGTTTAAATGAATGTGAAAACAGACTATTTATTAACCTCCCAATAGAAATGGACAAGAAAGTGGCGCTGTGGCTCAAGTGGTAGAGCGCGACCCTTGAGCTGATGAGCTGAGGGACAGCGCCCAGGCCCAGAGTTCAAGCCCCATGACCGATGAAAGAAAGGAAAGAAAGAAAAAGAGAGAGAGAGAAAAGGGGGGGGGGGCACGAGGGAGGAAGGGACAAGAAAAGCCAGATGTGAAATGCTTCTTCACAATTGTAATGGAAGCATTTTCTGCAGGAGAAAAGGTCTGAAGGGCTTCAAGGATGAAATCAAGTAAAAGTTGCCGCTGGTTTTGACTGGCAGCCACGAGCACTGGCATGTAGTCTGACCAGTCACCTGTTTCAGAACATGCTACAGCTGGAGAGACATACCTGTGAGGTCCCTTGGATAGGAGGAAGCCAAAATGTGTTGAGTCAACTGTATATAACAGTATGTCAGGGGAACAGGCGTTGATTGGTGGAACATATGCAAGAAGGTGTAATGCAAGGTCATTTGAGGGAAATACCAAGTTGTGCTATATTGTTTTTCTTGTATTTTAAAGAAGGCACTAAAAGAATAATGTAAAAATACATACACTTTTATTATTTTCAAGTTCAGACTAGGGTTTCTGATTTTTTTTTTAGCTCAAATGAATCACTAGATTTTTTTTCTATAGATTTTTGAGAATTACTGGAAAGTGACGATAATTTGCAAATCAGGTTGGTAGTTACATAAACTGTTAGGCTTAAATTTTAGGAGCAATACAGATAGAAAATAGGTGAAATACCTTGCACTCTGCAATGAAAAGATAAGCAACGGTGTTCTTTAAGAAACATAAGGAAGTAAGAGCGCTCGCCTTGAGCTGAAGAGCTGAGGGACAGCGCCCAAGCCCAGAGTCCAAGCCCCTCGACAGACAAAAAAAAAGAAACATAAGGAAAAACCATCTGTGAAGTTAGCCAGCACTGGAAACACTTACCAAAGAGAAGGCCTGTGTGTTATAGAGAGTAAGGATATCCCAGCTCCTATCGCAGCCTGGAATATTTTCCCTTCAACGTCAATGCTGACCGCACTCGTGCATTCATCCAGCAATGCATATTTTGGTCTGAAACACATAAACAATGAACAGTTTTCTTATATGAACTATGAATTAATTTTTGAGCAATAGACGCTACAAGGGTAACAACTTCAAAGGCACAAAAGAAAATATTATTTATGTATTTTTGGTGCAGTACTATGGCTTGAATTCAGGACCTAGGCGCTGTCTCTTAGCTTTTTTGCCCAAGGCTGGCACTCTTCCACTTATGCTGTACCTCCACTTTGGCTTTTTGGTGGTTAATTGGAGATCTCACAGATTTTTCTGACCAGGCTGGTTTTGAACTGTGATCCTTAGGCCTAAGCCTCCTGAGTAGTTATAGGTGTGAGCCATCAGGCCCAGCTGAGCATATTACATTATTAAAGGTGATAATTCATAACAGAGCTATACTTTATTACTTAGATTACTCACATTCTTCTTGAATTTAAATAGATTTGTCTGAGACCCACTTACAATTTAATAAGCTTTAATGTTATGAAGATGAATGAATGAAGGAAAGATGAGGCAGTGATGATAAAGTAATGATTATCTGATTATTTGAGGGCATTTTCCTGCAGCTGGCAGGATCATCCTTGATGACGAAAATCTAATTAGTTACATGGAAAATACATTTATAACAGCTAATGACTAAACAGGCCACAGTCCTGTTAGCAAAGATTTAATGAGAAGATTAATTTATCAGCAATGTGAGTATCTAAGCATTACTAATGGAATTTCCTCACTGTAAGACAGAGTGAATGTGCCTATTTACAAGTTTCAAAGTGGAGGCCAGGCACTGGTGGATCACGCCTGTAATCCTAGTCACTCAGGAGGCTGAGGATCACAGTTTGAAGCCAGCTTGAGCAGGAAAGTCTGTGAGCCTCTTATCTCCAATCAACCACCAGAAAGCTAGAAGGGGTGCTGTGGTTCAAGTGGTAGAGCTCTAGTTTTGAGCAAAACAGCTCAAAGACAGCACTCAGGCCCTGAGTTCAATCCCCACCAAAGACAAAAGAAAAAGTCTCAAAGTTGACAGTTAATTTCATACTATTGGGACCATAGTTGGGAATCGAATTCTTAAGAGAACAAAATAGTTGTTTATTTATTGATTGAGGGTAAGGATCCAACCCAGGACCTACATTTGCAAGATGAGTACCCTACCACTGCGCTATATACCCAACCCAACAATTACTTTCCTAGCTCATTTTTTCCCCCTTTGGGAATGAGTGTATGTTCTCAGAGGTGCTCTTTCATTTGTCACTATTACCTTCAGTTTGTCCATCTCCCTTCTTACCAGACCTCTATTTTTTCCCTATTTCTTTATCTCTTCCTTTTCTTATTTTATCTCCTCCTTTTCTTATTTCAATTATGTCTTGGACCTTTGGTGTGTAGACTGCATCAGTAACACAACTTAGCGTAGTTGTCAGGACTAAAGTCAATACCTACACTTGGGTGCTGTTCCTGAGCTTCTTCCTGCTCAAGCTGGCACTCTACCACTGGAGCCACAGCTCTAGTTCTGGCTCCTGGCTGGTAATTGGAGAAGAGACACACTGATTTTCCTGACTGGGCTGGCTTCAAAAGGCCCAGCCTGTCATCCTGACTGACCGATATTACAGTGTGAGCCACCAGGTTCCTGCCTTTTTTATATTTATAAACCAGCCATGCGCATTATTACAAATAACATTCTACCAATACAACTAATGATCTTTTCACTAAATATTTCCAGTTGGATATGAAAATATACACTGTACAGTTTCATTTACATGATGTTGTAGAGCAGATAAAAATAATTTATTATGATTGAAACCAGAATAGAAACTGTCTTACGGGGAGATAGGATGAGGAAGGGGCCCAAAGGAACTTTCTAGAAGGGGAAAGAATGTTTCTATGTTCTCTGTCTTGGTTGAGATTTTGGTTATATAATGTATGGCATTAATCAAAGGTTATTGATTTATATATTAGAAATCTGTACCATTTCAGCCAGATACAGTTGTGTACATCTATAATTTGAGCAGTAAAGGAGGCAGAAGTAAAGAGATGGGGGTCTGAGGCCAGCCTAGGCAGAAAGCTAGACCTTATTTGAAAAATAACTAGAAGCAAACGGGACTGGAGTTAAACTCAAGTTGTAGAGCAACTGTGAGGCAAGTGCAAGGCCCATGACATTAAAACCATTGTGCATTTGTTAATAACTTTTATCGTAATAATAAACTCTGAACGGCTATTGTGCAATACACAGAAAGGTATATATTAACACATGAAATTAAAGGAACATATGAATTTAAGTAAATATATAATTTAGCATAACTACATCAAAGTAATCAATATGATCACTTTTCCCAACAGGTTGGGATTTTGATTTTTTATAGCCAACGAGAAAGTATACTTTTTTCTTTTAAATTTTCTGTCTTGTCTACTTTCATGCAATGAACATTATCATATTTTAATGCATTTGCTTAAGTCACACATTCTCTTAGCGATAAACGTGTTCATTTGGGGAGGGTGAGGGGAGGGGGTAGAGAACTTGAGGGAAAAAGGGTAGAACTCACTGGACACTGATGAAAGTGAGCTATACAACTCTTGGGTGGAGACAGGAGCAGGGGACTGGGACAGAGTGAGAGAAGGAAATGTACTCATTGCCTAACTCACGCCATTGTAATCCCTCTGTATATCATCATCGTGGAAAACAGTCTGCACTTAAATGTAATCACAGTTCTTTTGCTCTAATTTCTGTTTTATAGGAAAAATGGGAGAGAAACAAGATATACCATCAGATCATTCTAGAATACATAACACTGCACATGACAGCTGATCTGCTTTCTTCAAGTTAAGGCTTAAGATTAGAAGGTAAGCCAAGTAGGGCTGCAGCTGTGGCTCAGTTAGAACTTCTGCCCAGCAAGCACAAGGCCTGTATTATACCACTAAAAGGCAGGTAGGAGCGAGGGCAAGAAGAGACTCTTCAGAATGAAAATATTTAAGACTTAGAACAATAAATACAATGTGTGGCCAGGCATAGTGGCACATGCCTGTAACCCTAACTTGGATGTTCAGGCAGGAAACAGAAAAGAAAAGAAGTAAAACCTGCTTGACTTGAACAAATACATTTTAACAATTGTAAAAGAGTCCTAGACAAACAGGGAAGTTTTGAGTATGAACCAGCTATTGGATAAGTAATTGATATTAAGTAATATAAATAATAATTATTGAGTAGCTAGTGCTAGTTTAATTACTTCGCTTATCACATATTCTTATGTAAGAAAGAGATTGAAAGCAAAGTGTTTAGGGCAAAAAATGTTACCAGATCTGTATATGATTTACTTTAAAATACCTAAGAATTTTTTTAAAAACAGAGTAGATAAATCAAATGTGGCACAAGTCAGACATGAATCAGTGTGGAGGGAGTTTGGGGTTCATTTCACAATTTCTCCCTTTCAATGAAGTTTTATGTTTTTTCCAAAATTAAAGTTTTCATAAAAATGAAAACTAGTTACTAAGTGTTCAATTAGAAATATGCATTTTGTGGCTCTCTTCATTAAGATTCTCTGTGAAACAACTGGCTCGTCCAATGGTTTCCAGAGCAGTCCATCTGGAAATGGCACTGTGGCTCAAGTGGTATAGTGCTCGCCTTGAGCTGAAGAGCTCAAAGGTAGTGCCCAAGCCAAGTTCAAGCCCCACAACCAACAACAACAACAAAAAAAGTGGTCCATCTGCCCTTATGCATGGTCCAGTTACTGCATTCCAAGACTTTTCCCCCAAGATGTAGGCATTAAAAGTTAATACCCTAGAGCCTGGTGCTGGTGGCTCACACCTGTAATCCTAGTTACTCAGGAGGCTGAGATCTGAGGATTGCGGTTCAAAGAAAGTCTGTGAGACTCTTATCTCCAATAAACCACTAGAAAACCTGAAGTGGCACTCTGGCTCAAGCGGTAGAGCACGCCCCTTGAGCTGAAGAGCTCAGGGATAGTGCCCAAGCCTAGAGTTCAAGCCCCACGACCGAACAACAACAGCAAAAAAGTACCTCAAGTCTTTCTATTTCCTTATGGGTGGGGCAATATCATTCTTTCTGATGGAAGCATAGAATTCCATTGTGTATATATACCACATCTTCTTGACCCATTTGTCCATTGAGGGGCATCTGGGTTGATTCCATATCTTACCTAAGGTAAATAATTCTGCAGTGAACATCATTGTGCTGGTGGCTTTAGTGTGGCCTGGTTTGTTATCATTTGGGTAAATGTCCAGGAGTAGAATTGCTGGGTCACAGGGAAGCTCTATGTTTAGTCTTTTTTTTTTTTTTTTTTGGTCAGTCATGGAGCTTGAACTCTGGGCCTGGGCACTATCCCTCAGCTCTTCAGCTCAAGGTGAATCCTCTACCACTTGAGCCACAGCACCACTTCCAGTTTTCTGGTGGTTAATTGGAGATCAGAGTCTCATGGACATTCCTGTCTGGGCTGGCTTTGAACCCTGATCCTCAGATGTCAGCCTCCTGAGTAGCTAGGACTACAGGTGTGAGCCACCAGTACCTGGCTATGTTTAATCTTTTGAGGAACCTCCAGACTACTTTCCAGAGTGGTTGGACAAGTTTACATTCCCACCAACAGTGTAGTAGCATTTGCTTTCAGCCACATCCCCACCAGCATCTGTTATTGTTAGTTTACTTGATAATGGCCATTCTAACTGGGGTGAGGTGGAATCTCAATGTTGGTTTGATTTGCATTTCTTTTAGGGCCAGAGATATTGAACATTTCTTTAACTTGTTAGCCCATTTATTAATTGGGTTATTGTTTCTCTGAGGATTTGTTTTTTGGGGGTTTAATTTTGGAGCTCTAAATATATTTTAGATAGGAGGCCTTTGATGCATAGCTAGTAAAGATCTTCCATTTTGTGGGCTTTCTATTTATCTTGCTACCTATGTCCTTTGCCATGCAGAAACTCCTCGGTTTGCTGCAATCCCATTTATCCAGTCTTTCTTTAATTTGTTGTGATTCTGGATCTTTACTTAGAAAGTTTTGACCTGTGCCTAGGGGTCCTAGTATTTCCCTTACCCCTTTCTTGTAATATTTTCATGGCATCTTGTCTTACAGATGTGGCTCTGACACATTTGGAATTAACTCTGGTGCAGGGTGATACATACATAAACCAGACCCGAAGCATAGGTTGCATGGTTTCCCTCATTTGTAGTATTAGAATTATGTAGAACAGGACTCTAAACATTCACATAGTGAGACCAAAGGAGGATATTCTTAGGAGACGATCACGAAGGCTCAATAGCTATGTACATATGATCACATGAAATAATGTTTACTGAAATGAAATCCAAGAAGTGGAAACAAGAAGGTTTTTTTTTGTTATTTTGCTTTTTTTTCTGTTGTCACTGTTTTGGATTTCTGTACCTTTTGTATATAAGTTTATCTGTTTGGGGAGGTATGGGGAGAACAGAAAGCGCACAAAGGGTGAACAAATGCAGCAGTGATACTCATTAGATACAGTGTTGACAATGAACTATATACCTTATGGGGGAGAGAGGTCAGGAGGACAAACTGGGAGAAAATGAGGGAAGAGGAGACATGTTCAAAAAGAAATGTAAAGCCAGGCACCAGTGGCTCACACCTGTAATCCTAGATACTCAGGAGGCTGAGATCTGAGGATTGTGGTTCAAAGCCAGCCCAGGCAGGAAAGTCCATGAGACTCTTATCTCCAATAAACCAGGAAACCAGAAGTGGCTCTGTGGCTCAAGTGTAGAGTGCTCGCCTTGAGCTGAAGAGCTGAGCGACAGTACCCAGGCCCAGAGTTCAAGCCCCACAACTGACAAAAAAAAACAAAAAAACAAAACAACAACAACAAAAAAGAAATGTACTCATTACCTGACATGTAACTGTAACCCCTTTGTACATCACCTTTAGCATAATAAATGAATTAATTCATAACAATAAATTAACTTTTTTAAAAAAAGCTAGTACCTAGCTCCTCCTAATTTCCTCTGTGCACACTGAACTTCTCATTGTTGTATATGTGGGGGTGGGGTGGATATGGAGATAAGGATATTAATCTGGAAGGGCCTAATACTTTCTTCCTGGGCATTGTGTTTGTTCTCCTTAAACTCATAGCCCTGTGTAGCTGGACACTAGTGGCTCACACTTGTAATCCTAACTACTTAGGAGACTGAGATCTGAGGATCATTATTCAAAGCCCACCCACTCTATCTCCAATTAACCACCATAGAGCAGGAAGTAGAGGTATGGCTCAAGTGGTAAAGCTCTAGCATTGATGGGAAAAGCCAAGGCAATATTGTAAGGCCCTTAGTTTAATAAGGCCCAATACTGGCCACAAAAACAAGACTATGCTAAATAGCAAGTCCTTTGCATAACTACATAATTTTTTTTTTGTCAGTCATGGGGCTTGAACTCTAGGCCTGGGTGCTGTCCCTCAGCTCTTCAGCTCAAAGCTAGCACTTTACCACTTGAGTTACAGCACCTCTTCTGGTTTTCTGAGTGGTTTATTGGAGATAAGAGTCTCAGGACTTTCCTGCCTGGGCTGGCTTTGAACCATGATCCTCAGATGTCAGCCTCCTGAGTAGCTAGGATTATAGACGTGAGCCACTGGTGCCCAGCCATAAAGATAATTTTAAGAAAAGAGAGGGGAGAAAGGGGAGAGGAAGAGAGGGACAGAGGGAGAGGAAGAGAGAGAGAGAGAATGAGAAGTTCTCGCTGAAACCAGCACACAGGATGACCCATTGCAACAACGATAACCACAAGACAGTATATTGGAAATAAACTTTACAACTTCCGGCAGTGGGGGGTGGGGGCAACCAGGGAGGTGGGGGAGGAAAGGGACACTGGGAGAACAAGAAAGGAGGGAGTAAATGCTCGACAAGAAATGTACTCATGGCCTTACTCATGTAACTGTAACCCCTCTGTGCAGTAAAATAAAATTAAAAAAAAAACAAGTTCTATGTATTGTATTTTTATTAAGGTATTTTTAACCTAAGATAAAAACATAGGGATAGTTTTATCTTTATGTTTTTAAATATACACAGTGAACCTTCTGTGTATAATTAACATATGCTAATGAAAGAAAGAGATAAAGATGAAACTACTGAAAGTCAGCCAGTTTGGGGGGTTTTTGTTTTGTTTTGTTTGCTTAGCCAGCCAGTAGCATGGTGGCCAAGTGAATACAGCATACTTACTTATGGTAAAACATCCGCGCCATTCCCATTCTTTGCTTCTCCCCCCCTGACAAGACATCTTTCCAGTCCATAACAGCATCCCATCCTGCAAGAAAACACAACAACAGATTTTATTAATAATTTATCTACTCCCAACTGTTCCTATCTTAGATAATGGATTCCTAGCAAGTTCTAATTGTAAACAGGGAGACCTGACATTTAATTGAACCTATGTTTGAAGGAAAAGCCCCAGCATTTGTATTCTGTCTTACATTTGATAATTGAATAGCATTAACTCCTTATTTTGACAAATCATCTTGTAAGAATTCTAAACAGGGATACCTTATAGAATGTGATATCGGGCACTGATTATGCCTGTAATCTTAAGTACTCAGAAGGCTCAGGTAAGAGGATCAAGATTCTAAGCCAGCCTGGGCAAGAAAGCTGGTGAGACTCTTATCTCCAGATAAACTAGCAAAAGGCTACAAGTGGAGTTGTGGCTCAAGGGTAGAGCACCAGCTTACCAACAAAAATACCCTAAAGGACAGTGCCTAGGCCCTGAACGTCAGGCCCCAGTATTGGGACACCCATACAAAATTGCTTTTCAGTATTTTCACAGGGTAGTGTTGGACAGAGGTGGGAGAAAAGACCAACAAATTTGCAAAAGTTAACTACAATGAATGTAAACAGTGGAGAGGAGAAAGGACCTAACTTTAGTGGTTCCCATATGCCTAGAAGTTAATGTGAGTTTTCTTATTATATACTCTACAGCTTATACGAGAAGATATTTTGCTTAGATTTTATAAGTGAGTAATCCAGAATTTATGGAGTAAGATCAAAGTTTACAGTTATCCATCAGGACTAGGATTTTACTCTAATTCTTTCTGATGCTGTTTTAAATTTTACCTATGCAGTTTATATTTGTACAGATTCTCTCTAGACATCTTCATTTCTGGTTTTTTATTTTTTGTCGGCTTGAACTCTGGGCCTGGGCGCTGTTCCTCACCTCTTCAGCTCAAGGCTAGCGCTCTACCACTTGAGCCATAACACCATTTCCGGTTTTCTGAGTGGTTAATTGGAGATAAGAGTCTCGTGGCCTTTCCTGCCAGGACTGGCTTTGAACCACGATCCTTAGATCTCAGCCTCCTGAGTAGCTAGGATTACAGGTGTGAGCCACTGACGCCTGGCCATTTCTGGATTTCTGTCTGATATTTATTCAAAAAGCAAAGTTTCTATTTATTTTTATTTTTAGTTATTCTTATTTTTTTGCTGGGCCTGGGGCTTGAACTCAGTCAGGGCTTGGGTGCTGTCTCTGAGCCTCTTTGTGCTCAAAAGGATAGCACTCTACCACCTGAGCCACAGTTCCCCTCTGGCTTTTTCTGAGTAGTTTGTAGGAGATAAGAGTCTCATGGAAAGCCGGGTGCAAGTGGCTCCCGCCTGTAATCCTAGCTACTCAGAAGGCTGAGATCTGAGGATCACAGTTCAAAGCCAGCCCAGGCAGGAAAGTCCTGAGACTCTTATCTCCAATAAGCCACTCAGAAAACCAGAAGTGGCGCTGTGGCTCAAGTGGTATAGCACTAGCCTTGAGCTGAAGAGCTGAGGGACAGCGTACAGACCCAGAGTTCAAGCCCCATGACTGACCGCCGCCCCGCCCCCCCCACCCCCCCAACGCCAAAAAGAAAAAAAAGTCTCATAGACCTCACTTTCCAGGCTGGCTTCAAACCATGATCCTCAGATCTCAGCCTACTCAGTAGCTCGGATTACTGGCATGAACCATCAGTTTCCAGGTAAAGTTTTAGTTTTTAAAAGCTGGTTTACATCTGTATATTGTAATATAAAAAAATGTGTCCAGAAAATAAAGTATTCAGAAGTTTTTATATTGAAAAACTAGGTACATATTACGATTATTATTGTTGTTACTGATGTTATTGTACATGTTATGATTGCATTTCTGCAAGTAAATGTCATGTAATCACCTACCACTCACAGAAACAACCCTGAGAATGGAACTATGAGATTTTTATTTTCTAAATTACATAGAAGACTAACTTCCTCTTATAGTTAGCAAAACAAAACACACAATTCTACTCTTGCTGAGCCTGGTTTTTCAAAGAAGGAAATGACTGCCAAAACTTGACAAATACTTAAGGAAACATTTCCAAATCTTAAGTGTCAGGGTTTAATTCTTCCACTTGGAAAATGTCCATGCTCTTTGCCCTCATTTTTCTGCTTCAGTGGAGGTCTCATCGTGATTGAAATTTCTAAATAAACTTGGTTAAAGGGAAAGAAAATAGGAAGTAGAGCTGGCACTGTCTTCTGTGCACTAAATTTCTGAAAATCCAAATGATAGGACTGGTTATTTTATTTTGTAAATCAGAAGTAGAATATAACCTTCTTGGGGATGGTGGGTTGTTTTTTTTTTTTGATTGTTTGTTTTTCCATCCTTGTGCTTGAATTCAGGGCCTGTCTCTAAGCTCTTATGCTCAAGGTTAGTGCTCTACAACTTGAGCCACAGTTCTACTTCTGGCTTTTTGTAGTCGATCGGAGATCACAGTTATGGGCTTTTCTGCCTGGGCTGACTTTGAACTGCATCTTCAGACTTCAGCCTCCTGAGTAGCCAACATTACAGGCATAAGCCACTGGCACCTGGCTAGGCTTTTCTTTTGCGATACTAAATTTCAAATCCTTTGAGAGCATAATATATGCTTTTAACACATTGCATTTTTACATTTCTTAATGTTTTAAGTATTATTATAAGATAGGCATAAAACTTTTTACAACTATCTAAAATAATAGATAATAGAAAACAGGATGTTCAGAAATCTGATAAAAATGTATGCAATAATATGCATAAAAATTTCCCAAAAAAGTTATACCTCCCCCCATCTCAACCAATAAGGCAGCCCTTGTGATATACACCTATACCTGTACACACAGGAATAAGTATGAAGATCAGACTCCGGGGCTAGCCCCAAGAAAAAAAGTAAAACCTTATCTTAAATATAAGTAAAGCAAAAAAGGGTTAGAAACATGGCTTGAGTAGTAGAGCACCTGCCTAGTCTAACAAATATGAGGCCTTGTGTACAAATCCTAATATCACAAACCAAAAGTCCTCCTGTCATTAAAATTCACTATATTAAAAAATAGAAGCAAAGCCTAAAATGAACCCTCGAATAGTGATGCCCACCTGTAATCCCAGCACTTGAGAAGGTAAGCAAAAGGATTGGGAGTTGGAGGCAGCCTGGGCTACATGCTAAGATCCCATCTAACATATAAAAAAAGATCTCGTCTAAAATATAAAAAGGTTAAAAAAATAATACTTATCAATGGGGAGGTAATAACCAGATGGGAGGAAACAGCAACAGAAAGTAGTTTTAAGGATATATATTAAATACATTTTAGTGGTTTTAAAAAAGAAAATTACGGTTCAATAGTTGTACAAAGAGGTTACAATTCCTTAAGTGAGGTTATAAATTCAGTCCATGTGGATCCATGTCCCCAGTCCATGGTTCCCCCATTGCTCCCAGCCCCATCCTCACCCTCCAGAGAGGGAGTTCAATACTTACATAATGTATGCTTGTTTATTTTGTTTTTTCTGTCAGTCCTGGGCCTTGAACTCTGGGCCTGAGTACTGTTCCTGAGCTGCTTTTTGCTCAAGGCTAGCACTTGAGCGACAGCACCACTTCTGGCTTTTTTTGTGTGTATGTGGTACTGAGGAATCGAACCCAGGGCTTCATGCATTCTAGGCAAGCACTCTACCAGTAAGCCATCTTCCTAGCGGTACATAATGTATGTTGAATATCATAACTGTATTTGTTCACCCTTCCTCCCTCCATTTGTGTGGACATTTTAGTTTTTGAATGATGTGGAAGTGTTACCTCCTCTAACATTGAGATGAATAAATGTAATGAAAGTAAAAATATTTGAAACAACCAATACAAAAAGTATCTGGACTAAAGTGCCTTTCCCTTGCGTCCCATTGGTAGCCTCAGATTCTACTCTACTAGGGAACCACTTCATTTCCTTGGGTAAACTTCCAGACCTTGGTCATCTACTTAACATGTGTCTTTGTGAGTTTCTATTAGGAAAAGTATCTCCAAATGCCATCTTTTTTACATTTGCTTCTGGGAAAACTGTTGAAATACTTCCCAGAGACTGAATTTTTAGTGCATTTATGAAATACAAGGGATGCTTTGAGAAAGATTCACATTGCCACACAATGGAGAAAGAGCTGGGGCCTAAAATAGTGTTTCCTCGGCCCACAGAGAATAAAATATTTTGGCCAAAAGCAGCTTTAACTTTCACATATTTTAATAAACTCTGTTCTCTGTTCCATAAATCCACAGGGCTTCCTAGGCAATATTGCATGATCACATAATTCACCCCAAGTCACAGTCTTGCCTGAGTAGGAATCTGATTTGGTGAGGCTCAGCCAGCTAAGAAAATCTGTTTGCTGCTACCCAAGATGCACCAGCTTCTTTAGGTTGCCCTGTCTTTTACTTCCTGTTTGGTCCTGTGTTTGATGGAACTGAATGTAGTTCTAGTCTCTACCCTGTAGGAGGCGCCTTCCACAGGAAGCAATATACTTGCACATTGTGTTTTGCTGCCTTGCTCAAATGTTTCATGCTTGAGTAAAACAAACTCATTTCCTTGGAAATTTTTATGTGCAAATTTCCTATTGAATTTCCTATGGAAATCTTTCATGTGTAAATAAATGTTCTTATTAATGTCCCCAAATCTAGGAAGTACGACTTTGGATAAATACCTAACTTGACTTTAATCTGTAAAGTGGAGACAGTAAAAACAAACGTTATTAGACTACTAAGAATAGCAAATAAAATGATAGATTGGCTGACGGATACTGCAGAACATACCATGTTCTGCCTAGTAATAACCAATAATATTTACAATTACATTATTAAAATTGGAATATTCTTCTTATTTATATCTTTTATAGGAAAACATATGGCACAAAACTTATTATATGCCCAAGGCATGGTAATATTATAGTCTAGACTTAGAACATTCTTAAAAATAGTTGGACTTGTTCATGATTTTTAAAAAAAGAATATTTCTTATTTACCCTAAATTTCTATCTGCATCATTGTGTATGTCAAACTTAAATGAAAATTATATGCCCAAGGTAGGCAGTAGAATTTATTCTTCCATATTAGTTTATAATTTGACAAGAAGTTGACCATATAAAACCAAAAGATAATCTGCTTTCTTCAGATGGTAGGAATTATAAGCACTACAAAAATACAGTATTTCTTAACTGCTTCATTTGATTATAGTATGAATCATATGGAATACCATATGTGAAATTTCTATGCAGCATATAAAATACCACCATACAAAGACAAACTACTCTTAGTATTAACATGATAACTAATCATGTCACCACTCACTACTTTGTGTATTATTCTTATCCCACATAGCCTATTAATATTTAGTTTTGTTTTTTTTTTTGGTCGGTTGTGGGGCTTGAACTCTGAGCTTGGGCACTGTCCCTGTGCTCTTCAGCTCAAGGCAAGCACTCTACTGCTTGAGCCACAGCGCCACTTCTGGTTTTCTAGTGGTTTTATTGGAGATAAGAGTCTCACGGACTTTCCTGCCCAGGCTGGCTTTCAACCGTGATCCTCAGATCTCAGCCTCCTGAGTAGCTAGGATTACAGGCATGAGCCACCAGTGCCCAGCTTAATATTTAATCTTCACTTATAATTTTATAGTTGAAGATATAAGAGAAGGGCCAGGGCTGGGAAGGTGGCTCAGTGGTAAAGTGCTTGCTTTGCATGCATGAGGCCCTGGGTTTGATTCCTCAGCACCACACAAACAAAAAGAAAAAAGCCGGAAGTGGTGCTGTGGCTCAAGTAGTAGAGCACTAGCCTTGAGCTGAAGGGCTGAGGGACAGCGCCCAGGCCCAGAGTTCAGGCCCTACAACCGGACTCCTCCCCCGCAAAAAAAGAGAAGGGCCAGCTAGAATCTGATTCTAGAATTGTCAAAGGTCAAAGCATGGATTCTCAATCTCTGCATGACATTGTTTACTAATGTAACTGGGCTGTGAAACAGAGCATAAAATCCACACATAATTAAATCTGGAATTCTGGCTTATTAGGATTTTTTCTAGGCTATCAAATTCTATGAGCTACCAAATTATTTTCAGATGTAACTATTAGAAAAGAATTGCCTTATTTTTTACATTTGTATTTTTATTATCTATAAGTAGTCATTATTTTTAAGCTCAAATATTATTGCATTAAATATTATTCCTAGTCCTTCAAATATGTTTATTCTGAAAAAAGCCCACAATGCAAAGTGTCCACAGATGATCTAATTCTCCTTCGTGTTGCCTGACAGAGTAAAACTGTATTGGTAAGGCTGTGCAAGTGAAAACAAAGAGGTCCCATGACTTCTCCAATTACTTAAGTTAGTGTAGCTGAGTAAGCTTGGCTAGGAAACATTTCTTTTTTTGTTGTTGTTTTTTGTGTTTTTTTTTTCATTATTTTGGGGGGAAACATTGCTGTCCCACACTTCACATGGATCTAGCATGGCAGTGGCCAAAGTGAAGGTATAGCATCAGGCTTCAAAGGAAAAAGCCAAGTCAGTGAGAAGCTCTGAGATCAAACCCAGTGTTAGCATATACATACACACACAGACACAGACACACACACACACATGAAGAGTCGCAGTGGCCTTAGGGACATATGTCCATTTGAATATAAAGAAAGTAAGTTTCAGCTGAGAATATGGCTTAGCAGTAGAGTGCTTACGTAGCATGCATGAAGCCCTGGGTTCAATCCCTCAGTACCACATAAACAGAAAAAGCCAGAAGTGGCCCTGTGGCTCAAGTGGTAGAGCACTAGCCCTGAACAAAAGAAGCTCAGGGTCAGTGCCAAGGCCAAAAGTTCAAGCGAAAGAAAGAGGGGGGGGGGAGAGAGAGAGAGAGAAGAGAGGGAGGGAGGAAGGAAGGAAGGAAGGAAGGGAAAGAAAAGAAAAGAAAAGAGAAAAAAAGTAAGTTTCTAAGTTTCTAAATGCTACCTCTAGTGACATGGAAAAGATCAGTGTGAGACATTCAGTATCACATTAACAGAAGACGAGATATCAGTAATGGAAAAGCAGGCTGGATCTTGTGGTTCACACCTGAAATCCTAGCAACTCAGGAGTTTGAGATCTGAGGATTGAAGTTTAAACCAGTCCTGGCAGGAAAATCTGTAAAAACTCTTATCTCCAATTAGCAACAAAAAGCGGAGGTTTGGCTCAAGTGGTAGAGTGCTAGCCTTGACCATAAAAGCTAAGGGACAGTACCTAAGCCCTGATTTCAAGCCCCAGCACTGGCACAGAACAAAAATAAATCAATAATAAATAAATTATAAAATGGAGAAGCAACAGAATGTTATCTTTACACTTAGCTACTTATAATAACCAGACACATTCAAATGAAACTACAAACGCAATACATACAATCAAGCCTATTTTTAAAACGACGTTAAGAAGCATTTGAAGAGGCAAGCTACGCCTCCCTACCTCCTTCTCTCTGTACGATGTGGTAGAGGTGGACGTTCTGCAGGATACACTCCAGGTCCTGGTCTGTGTAGCCTTTACCATGCATGTCATCCACAGAGTCGGGATAGATGACTTGATCCCGGAGACTTCCGAGGGACATATATGGCCTGTAAAACAACAAGCACACAGCAGCCCAGTGCAGTCACTTGTAACTTACACAGGTTGACATCCTGGCCCCTGAAACTAAATGAGTAGCTTTATACCGCTGTCTATCTGTGTGTGTGTGTTGCTTTCAGGCACAGCTGATTAATATCCTTGCATGTTTATGTAAAACCGTATTAAGTCTTAGACACCGTAAAGCATCTATAAGAAATTGTGACAGTTTCAGTACTTTTTTCTGTATATGATATTGTTTCTGTCCTCCATCTTAAATGATGGAAGTTTAAGCATTTTATAATTTGGGGGTTTGACACAGCAATGCAAACAACATGAAAAAAAAATGCCATTCTTCATTAGAAAAATTGAACTAAAATGAAATTGAGTTAGACTTGCAAAATTTCAACAGCTTGAGAACTCTCCACAAGCAGCCTGTGGGGAGAAAGGGTGGATCTCGTGCCATGATGTAGATGCAAAATGGTACAAGCTCCTTGGAGACGATCTGGAAAACAGATGCATGATTTGCCCTCTCACTCACTTCTGGCCATTTCCTCTGAAGACAGACTTCTCAAAATGCCAAAAAGAAAAAGTACATATGATTATCCATTACAGCATTATTTGTAATAGCAAAATATTACGAAATATGCCCACAGAGAACAGATTGAGACAGCCATGGCTCAGCATTGTGAACAGAACCCACTGGTATTCACGTGGTATTGGTTAAGTGGGAAGGAGAACATGAAGCAGACAGAGGATGGGCTTCCTGGTCAGTACAGCTGTCTACATGCCAGACACGCCCTCCAGTGGTGAATAAAATAAGTTTCTCTCCAGAGGTTGTCAACTGTCCCCTAGGAGACAAAAATCCTCCATGGCTGAGATTCACAGATACACAGTATATTAGCTTCTATGGATAGGGGAAAAGGCAAGCAAGCAAAACATACACACAGCTGGTTCTACCTATAAAAGGAAACTGGAAGTGTGAGCCTAAAGCTGGTTAAAACTAGGGAGGCAGAAGAAGCAAAACAAAATGGACAGAAGACAGATGGCCTCTCTGAACACTTCTTTTATATACTTCTGGATTTTTGTTTGTTTTGGTGCCAGTACTAAGGGGCTTGAACTCAGGGCCTGTGGCATCTTTCCCTTAGCTTTTTCCACTTAAGACTGGTGCTCTATCACTTGTGTTACAGCTTCACTTCTGGGGGGTTTTTTTGGTGATTTTTGTTTTGTTTTGTTTTTGCTGGATCGTTGGAGATAAGAGTCTCAGATTTATCTGTCCCCGCTGGCTTTGAACCTCGATCCTCAGATCCCAGTCTCCTGAGGGATACAGGTATGAACCACCAGTACTTGGTTTCTGTATACTTTTTTTTGGTTTTAACTCTAAGAATTAATTAAAATGTTTATTATTTTTAATATTATTTTTAAGGATTATAGTAAAACGTTAAAAATGTGATAAATAAAATTAAACCAACAAAAATGGAAAAGAAATCCTAAAATTGAATACAGATAAAAGCAAGACAAATCTACTGAATGATGGATCAACAGTAATATAATCACCACAGGCTGGGGAGTAGAGGGACACAAGTAACTTTTTTTTTCTTTTTCTTCTTTTTTTTTGTTTTGTCAATCATGGGACTTGAACTGGGTCTGGACACTGTCATTGAACTTTTTTGTTCAAGGCTGGTGCTTTGTCACTTTGAGCCACAGCTCCACTTCTGGTTTCCTGGTGGTTCATTGGAGATAAGAGCCTCATAGACTAACATTACAAGCGTTGAGCCACCAGCACCAGGCTAACTTTTCAATTTAGCTTTATAACTTCAGACAAACAACAACAAAAAAAAAAGGAAATCCTGAAACTAATTTAGCAAGTTTTATTTTATTTTTTGCTGGTTCTAGATTTTGAACTCAGGGTCCCACGCTTGCTAGGCCCTAAAGACACACACCAGGTCTTCTTGCTATATTCTTCAGATAAGGTCTCACATTTTTTCCCTTAGTCTCACCTACAGCACTACCACCTACGCCTCTGCATATTTGGAACTACAGATAGGCACCACAAAATGCTTATTACTTAAGATGAGGGGCTCACTAATGTTTTTGCCTATGTTGGCCGCAAACAAACAGTGACCATCCTGACCTCTATCTCTCAAGTAGCTGGGATTACAGGTGTGAGCTGCGGCACCCTGCTCTGACAAATTTGTTTATTTATTATTTTTATGCTAGTCCTGGGATTGGAATGCAGGGTCTAGGCACTGTCCTTTAGTTTTTGTGCCCAAAGCTAGCACTCTACCAGTTGAGTCACAGCTCCACTTCCAGGTTTTAGATAGTTAATTGGAGATAAGAGTCTCAGGGGCTTTCCTGCCTGGGCTGGCTTTGAGCTGCAATCCTTAGATCTCAGCATCAGGAGTAGCTGGGATTACAGGTGTGAGCCACTGGCACCCAGCTAGCAAGTTTATTTTTGATGATTTTGATGTATCAGTTCTGACACTATTTTACGTATATTATAGGATCAGTCAGGTAAATAATACTTCGGTGGGGTTATGAACTAGGATTCTCACAGAGGAGAAAAGAAGATACATACATGTAATTGAAAGGAAAAGAATAATATTTGATTGAGAGTACTAGTAGCAATTGATGCTTTCTCTACATCCACCCGTAAGTAAAGCACCTGGATGACTTCTGAGAACAGGAGATTGTGCAGACAATACAATATTGGTTATTCCATGGAGAAAAAAGGTATAGTCCTAACCCTCATATCTTGGATGTGACCTTCTTACAAACAATCTTTGCAGATATAAGGTGAGGACCTTATGACAGGATCATTTGATGAATCCCAAATCCAATAAATGTGTTTATAAAAAGAGGAACATGGGGCTGGGAAGGTGGTTCAGTGGTAGAGCGCTTGCCTTGATTCCTCAGCACCACATAAGCAAAAAGAAAAAAAGCCTGAAGTGGCACTGTGGCTCAGGTGGTAGAATGCTAGCCTTGAGCTGAAGAGCTGAGGGGCAGCGCCCAGGCTCAGAGTCCAGGCCCCAGGACCGGACCCAAAAAAAAAAAAAAGAGGAACATTAGGAATAGAAGAAGGCATGAGAAGAAGGAAGTAAAGATTGGAATGATGTTGCTGTAAGCCAAATCCACCAGACACTACTAAAAGTAGGTAGGGCAGGAAGAATTGTTCCCTAGTGTCCTCAGGGAGGGGATATTGCCAAGATGTTGCCTTGTGGCCTCCAAAGTATGAGAAAATAAATTTTTGTTAGTTCAAACCACCAAATTTTGGGTCATTTGTTCCAGGCATCTTTGGAAATGAGCCTGGGTGGTATTCTTACAAAAATAAAAAGCATAGTTAAATCATAGCATGAGGAAACTATCAGATAAACTGAAACTGAGGGCCTGATTTAAAAATATCAAGTGTCCTGCCTGTTGTAAAGGTATCAATGCAGTAAATTAAATTTTGAATATAGTCTGGACTTTAAACATTAATTTTTCATTGTGCTATTTTTATCTCATAGAATACTGATGATATTAGAAAACATACTCTAAAATGGGCAGAAGTGATTTCTGATTACTGTACCTTGTTTTAAAGATAGCAAATGGTTGGGTGCTGGTGGCTCATGCCTGTAATCATATATGCTCTGGAGACTGAGATCCCAAGGATCATGGTTTGAAGCCAGCCTGGGCAGGAAGGTGTGTGAGTCTCTTATCTCCAATTAGCAACCAAAAAATACAGAAATGGAGCTGTGGCTCCACTGGTAGAGTGTTAGCCTTGAACACAAAAGCTCAGGACCAGGGGCCAAGTTTGAGTTCAAACCCCAGGACTGGTACAAAAAACAAACACAAAAAAACCCCAAATGAGTTGTGTATGTCTGTGTCTGTGTTTGGAGAGAGAGAGGGAGAGAGAGACATAGATTTTCAAGTACAAAATGTGCCCTGTGGATCAAATAGCTGATGATTTTCCTACAATAGGCTCAAAATTATTTTCAATATATTTAGCTACTATCTGCTATTCACAATGTTTATATTTAATGACACATGTATATATTTATATGACTTTAAAAAATAGATCTTTACAAATACAATGAATTTCCAATTGTATTAATTGTTTGAATTGACATCCAACTCATGCACTATAAAATTCACCTTTGTAAAGTACATAGTTCAGTTTGAGCTCATGTGACCATTATCACTAATTCCAGAACACTCTGTCAAATAATCTTGCACCCATGTGTAGACATGGGTCAGAAACTGCCTGTTTCTCCCTGTCATCTCATCCCTAGGAAACCATCAGTGTTTCTTTTCGGTCTCCATGCATTATTGAGTTTTTTGTTTGTTTATTTGTTTGTTTTTACCAGTCCTGGGGCTTGAGCTCAGAGCCTGGGCACTGTCGCTGAACTTCTTTTGCTCAGGCTAGTACTCTACTATTTGGAACTCAGTGCTACCTTCAGCTTTTTCTGAGTAAGATAAGAGTCTCATGGATTTTTCTGCCCTGGCTAGCTTTGAATCATGATCCTTAGATCTCAGCCTCCTGAGTAGCTAGGATTATAGGCATAAGCCACCAGCACCCAGCTTTACTGAGAATATTTGAAATATACAGAATCGTACTAGATACCTTCTTCCTATCAGCGTATTGTTTTCAGATCCATCCATGTCGGGGCTTGTGACACTGTCACATTCCTTTTATGAGTGAGCAGTGTTCTGCTGCCTGTCCTGCAGGCACATGACACGTGACTCATCATTCATTCATAGGTGGGTATTTCAGTTATTCAATTTTCAGTGTATGCTAGGGGTGGATCAAATAAGAGAGCCTTCCTTTTACAAGTGCTCTAACGATTCCACTGTAAAAGTTGACTAATGGCTCCTATTTGGTGAAACCACATTTTCTCTACACGTTTTAAGGAAGACAGCTGAGAATAGCGGCTGTGATGATGGCTTCTGGCACTGCGGTTCTGAGTAGAGTCCTAATCTCACTGTTTAGTATAGTGACCCCAATTCTGAGCTAGAAATAACTCACTTGTAAACT